CGTTGGTTTCATCCCATCCCGATTTTGACTGTCGCATAGTGTTATTGGTTTTGAAAAAAAAAATTTGTATAGGACTCCCCCCCTTCTGGCTACGCCCATGTAGTTGTAGATATCATATCAAAGACACAGTATTTGAAGACTCTACACGTCGCCCCGCCAGAGGAAGTTAAATATTGTGCCTAAAAATATGCAGTACATACGCTACAGCGGAAATGGATGACGCAGCATTTCTTTAAATGAAATTAATTCGTGCTAAATGCTAAATGAGTTCGGCCGTTCCCCCTTTTTTCGATCGTGAATGGTTCCGGTGAACAGCAGCAACCCTGCCTAATCGCCTACTCACCACGGCCCGTTCCACCCACGTACTCATAATACACGTATACATATGAATTGTACTTACACATACACACACACATGAATTACAACACAACATAAAATAAAACACAATCTGTGCGATTACCAAGCCGGCAAGACGTATTCTGCGCTACAACCCCGCTAACTAAGTTTAATAAAGTTTGTTAACAGTTCAACCAAAAGGTTCTCCAGTTTTATTTAGAAAAAAAGGTTCAAAGCTAGTGGTGAGTGTATGCCCCCAAAGTGTTAGCCCCTGGTGTAAGAGTAACGATGGTCCTTTGAAAAAAACAAAAACAAAAATTTAAATTATTCAAAAACAAACCAAAACAGTGAATAGAAAAAACACGAAAAATACATGAATATACAAAAATAAGGGCAAAAGTGAACAAAAAGCAGCAAAAGTCATAAATAATTTACTAAACTAAAACGGGCGCGACGTGCAAATTTCACATTTAACACATAAACCAAAGATTTCGGGCGCGAAAAACAAAAAAATATTTATAAATTGAATTTGATAATGGGAGTGTCTTAGAAGAAGAGAAAAATTACCACAAACGCTTTATATTAGAAATGCTCCACATTGTGAACACCCCTAATGATAAAAGGATGAATTTCAAAACAGACACTGAAAACTGTGTACATGTCTACCGAAACATAATATTAAGGCACAACAAATAAGCCTAATATTGTCTATTATTCGTTCCGTGTCCGAACTTCGTCTATGATAACATTGCAATGCTGGATGATTTGCATACATATTTATGTCGTACTGTGTGCCGTCCAATGCAATGTTGTTTGTATGATTTTTTGTTTACAATTACTGTTCTTTCATTTGTTTATATTTTTATGTCCATTTCGTCTCATTGTTTGGTTTGTTAAATCTTTTGATTTTTGCACACATTAGTCTACCAGGCGCAGCCGAATGTGTAAGTTGTGCTTATATACAGTATGTTGATAGTCTTTTATGCAATTTTTGTAATTAAGATATTTATTGCAGTCCTGATGATGACTTCAGACTGAAGTCGAAATATAGACGATTTAAAAGCAACAAAAACAGATTGTTTTATTTCAACCCGGCCTTGAGCTCAAAAAAATATCAACAGAATTTATAAATTAACAACAAATTAATCACCAACAAGTGAGGAAGAGCGTTGGGCAAATCAGCCACATTAAGGAAGCGAGGACGCAAAGTCAACGAGGGAGGACAGTATACGGAGCACAGGCACTGCAGAGCACAACATAGTTTAAGCTCAACAAACCCCAAAGCCCTTGAACATATCAAAGTGAGTTGTATCGTTTCACTTATTTTACACAAGTATCCTAAATCAAGTCAAAAAAGCGAACTGAGCCCAATTTAATAAACAATATTTTTTCTTGAATAACGGCGCTAGTTCATTTACAGCTGCCAGGAAAAATTTAATTGCGATACACATACACATATTTATGGCAATTTATTCCCCCTAGCGCTCCACACATGGGGGGACTCTGGGAATCCGCCGTAAAAAGCTTTAAAGCGCATTTCAAGAAAATCGCTGGTAATTATAAATTTACTTATGAAGAGTTCACCACACTATTTGCTCGAATTGACGCCGTTCTCAACTCACGGCCTATCAATAACCTCTCGCAAGATCCCTCCGATTTCACAGCCCTCACTCCCGGGCATTTTCTCAGAGGAGCTCCACTTCTGGCCATACCCGAGCCAGAACCGCAATCACCATCACTCACAAATCGATGGGAAAGATGGCGACTCGGCCGTATAGAGAAAATATATCATGGCTCCGACGGTCATATCCGCGTAGTTGATCTCCGTACACAAAGCGGCATACTAACTCGACCCCTCGTCAAGCTATGTTTCCTTCCAACCGCCTCTCCTACCGGTTGCACGAATACCGATACCTAAAATCATCAAACCGCAATAAACGTAACAAAAACCGAGAATATTAAAAGTGCCTAAATCCGGACCCTCGAACTCACACCAAGTGGCTTACGACTAGCAATCATGTTCATAACTGCTTACACCTATGCTATACTAAAGTCCGTTCTCCCCTAATGTAGGTTAACATGGACGTGGAAATGCATGAAGCCGCAACCCTCCGTTCGGCAATCACCGTGCACCGCTCAGCAGCACCGGCAGTAGCGGCTCCGCGTTTTGCTGCGCCACGTACCGCATCAGCCCCGGCTGCAGCGCCACGCAACGTCACGCCTCGTCCCGCCGCCGCTCCGACGGCACCACCCCGTGCTGAGCTTCCACAAAGGATCTCAGCAGAAATGCATGGCGTACGATGCCCGCTATGCTCCATATTTAGGAGTATGCAGCCGCCGAAGCGCCAGCAAGTCGCGCAAGCGCATGGGTACTGCCTTAATTGCTTGGCGCTATCCCACGCAACGAGGGAGTGCGACTCCCCCATCAGGTGCCAACTATGCGACAGACCGCATGACACGCTGTTGCACCGCATGTCCGGACGTCCGATGATCGAGACGCCAGTGCCACGCAACCAGGGGCGGCGGAGGCCGCACGACAGCAGTACAGCACGATCGCGGCGACCACCAGTACAACAGGGCCACCACACTTGGAACCATCCTGGGGCTCGATATCGCGCTCCAGCGGTCACACATCGCCGGCACCAGCCTACGTAACGTCCCCGTCGTGCAACCGGACTACGCAACGTAGTAGAGACCCTGTAGCTACTCCAGCAAATCCTAGGCTGAAGACTCGCCTAGGGGGGTCGGGATGGCTAAATGAATTCGGCCGTTCCCCTTTTTTTTCGATCGTGAATGGCTCCGGTGAACAGCAGCAACCCTGCCTAATCGCCTACTCACGACGGCCCGTTCCACCCACGTACACATAATACACCTACACACACACATATACATATGAATTGTACTTACACATACACACACACATGAATTACAACACAACATAAAATAAAACACAATCTGTGCGATTACCAAGCCGGCAAGGCGTATTCTGCGCTACAACCCCGCTAACTACCAACCAAAAGGTTCTCCAGTTTTATTTAGAAAAAAGGTTCAAAGCTAGTGGTGAGTGTGTGCCCCCAAAGTGTTAGCCCCTGGTGTAAGAGTAACGAATATGTATGTACATATGTATGTATATACTCAACGTGAGCACAAAACATTTTGCTTGCATAGTCTTCTGTTCTCTTTTCACTGCAAGTTGAATTATTTTAATATCTATTGCAAAATTTTATACGGACAAGACTAAAAAGTAGAAAATAAATAAAATAAAAAGCTTTTTAATATACAACGCTTTTATAAATGGACTAAAAATTTGAAAATAATATTCTCAGTCCCATAGAATTTGTTTTGACAACTTTTGATTTTGAAATTTTAGCGAAAGTCATTATAAGCAATTTATGAGATTGTAAATGAAGAGCCCGGGGCGCATGTGATAGACCTGAATTGAAATGAAGGGTAATATATGTATGTATGTGGATATATGAATAACGACCGCTTAAAATCGATCTCAAACTTGTACTTTCTCTGTAGAAATTTGAGGTCTATGTTATGTAGTTTGACTATTGTCAATTAAATCTAATGCTTTGTATTGCATGCGCTCCATGTTTTTCGTTCTCAATATCATAAATAGTTTATAATAACTTTTGCTAAAATTTTAAAATCAAAAGTTATCAAAAGTCATTCAATGGGACTGAGAAATATTATTTTCTGATTTTTAGTCCATTTATAAAAGCGTGATATATTAAAAAGTTTTATTTTATTTTATTTATTTTTGCTGTATCTTGTTATTGTTTTTGATACAGAATTTCGCTGTTTGCTACCTATGCATGCTACCATTTTGCAATGGGGTACTCTCGTACTCTTCCAAATTTGGAATAGTATTTTTGCATTTCGTGCAATCCGTGCATCGTACACGACTACGAGAATACCCCTATTATTTTGACTTTTTTGATGAACCGTTCCATTTGCAGAATTCACTGGTGACCTACAGCTCCGGCCGAATTGAATTGTGTGCATCATCCTGCAGATACGTTGAAGTAAGTTGCAACCAAGTTTTTGTTAGTAAAGCGACTGGTAAGTCGTATGAGTATTAAGAATTGGGCTGAAAATGAATTACGGAAAATCGAAAAACGCTGCGAATGAAGAATTTTTTGAAAAAAGCTGACACATCTGGTGGTCGAAAAGAATCTAAAATATTTTCGAGTTTGTCGCCTCGAGCGAGCACTTATTAAATGGCTAGTTTGATTTACGACTTTTTAAGAAACAGGCTGTAACCAGAAAAGGCAGCAGCATTACTTTTCATTAAATATAATGTTCCAATTTTTTAATTCAAGTACTAAATAAAATAAGCATTATTAAAAATTACTAACTTTTCCACTTTTAGTCACTTAATTTGCTTACATAAATTATTGAATTCACATCCGGGGATGTTTAGAATTTCACATTCACAACATCGATGGTATTTATGTATAATCAAACCATAGGAAAAATAACTCGTTTCCATTGCATAATACTTAAGCAAATTTAAATATGCGGATTTCTGAAATATTTAAAAGTTAAAGCACAGATATGTTTAAAGCCAAATTCATGGGCACCCTGAAATTGTGCATATGGAAACTGTGCATACGAAATAATGCATATGAAAAAACCGAAATAATGCATATATGCACAGTTTCGGTTGAAGACCGCAATAATGCATATTAAAAACACCGAAATTATGCATATGCACACTTTCGTTTGAAAACCGAAATAATGCATATATGCACAGTTTCGGTTGAAGACCGCAATAATGCATATTAAAAACACCGAAATTATGCATATGCACACTTTCGTTTGAAAACCGAAATAATGCATATGAGAAAAACGAAGTCATGCATACATGCTAGGGCTGCCAGATATCTCTGTTGCCAAACCGGGACACTTAAGGGGGGGGGAGAGGCCTCTCGCTCCCTTGCCTTTCGTTTCGACAAAAATTACGTACGAAAGGATGTAGTAAAATTTTATTTTGACAAATAAAAACAAAAACATAAAAACATGAGATCATGAGATCATTACAACGTACACCAGCAAAACAAAACAATTTATCACAACTAAAGCACGAGAATTTTTCTCAACGCATGTACCTTTTTTGTTCCTTATAAAAATACAGTTTATACTAAATACATCAGAAAACATAAAAATAAAATTTCTAAACTTTGTGCAAAACTCGGGAAAATGCAATAAATTTGCATACAAATTCGCAACTTTCTATTCAGACTTTTTTATAAAAATTTTGAAAATGAAGTTTTGCAGCCCATACAATTTTATTTGATTTTTGGTATTGTTTTTACTGAGAGTTTCTTTCATACAAACTATGTTCGACCTTTTTTTGTATGTGGAAGACACTGTCAGCAAAAAATTAATAATTGCAAAAAATCAACGAAATTTTCTGGTAACTTGAGATTTGCACTTTACTAATTGGCTCAAAAGCTACATTTTCAAAATTTTTCTAAAAGATCTGATTAGAAATTGTGATCAGATGAAAGAGTCTCCGAGCCAATAATTTTGTACGGCACGGGACTTATAAGTAATCTAGGTCTCACGAAAGAAAAAAATTAAATACAATAATAATATAATTGTAAAACTCTGTGCATGTCATTTTAACGTATTTAGGTACATANCATGCATACATGCTAGGGCTGCCAGATATCTCTGTTGCCAAACCGGGACACTTAAGGGGGGGGGAGAGGCCTCTCGCTCCCTTGCCTTTCGTTTCGACAAAAATTACGTACGAAAGGATGTAGTAAAATTTTATTTTGACAAATAAAAACAAAAACATAAAAACATGAGATCATGAGATCATTACAACGTACACCAGCAAAACAAAACAATTTATCACAACTAAAGCACGAGAATTTTTCTCAACGCATGTACCTTTTTTGTTCCTTATAAAAATACAGTTTATACTAAATACATCAGAAAACATAAAAATAAAATTTCTAAACTTTGTGCAAAACTCGGGAAAATNTTTTAAGGTTGGACCGGGACACCGGGACAAATAGTCTAAAACCGGGACATGTCCGGGAAAACTGGGACGTCTGGCAGCCCTAATACATGCACAGTTTGGACTCAAAACCCAAATAATGCATAGGAAAAAAACCGAAAGAATGCCTTCGCCCGCGCTTAGCGATTGTTACCCTTACTAAGTACAATTCTCCTTTATGTGTTGCCGGAAAAAAGGGGCGGAAGTATTTTTGCGCAGAACTTCTTTCCGCGGTTAGGCATTATAACCTTTACTAAGTAGAAATCTCCTTTCTGTGTTGCCGGAAAAGAGGGGGGGAAGTATTTTTGGGCAGAGCTTCTTTCTGTGTAGGCGGCCTTCGGCCGCGCTTAGGGATTATAACCCTCACTAAGTAGAATTCTCCTTTATGTGTTGCCGGAAAAGAGGGGCGGAATTATTTTTGCGCAGAACTTCTTTTTGCGTAGGCGGCCTTTGGCCGCGTTTAGGGATTATAACCCGTACTAAGTAGAATTCTCCTTTCTGTGTTGCCGGAAAAAAGGGGCGGAAGTATTTTTGCGCAGAACTTCTTTTTGCGTAGGCGGCCTTTGGCCGCGCTTAGGGATTATAACCCTTACTAAGTAGAATTCTACTTTCTGTGTTGCTGGAAAAGGAGGGCGGAGGTAATTTTGCACAGAATTTTTTTTTGCGTGGGCGGCCTTCGGCCTCGCTAGGGATTATAATCCTTCCTAAGTAGAATTAATTCATATTAGAAAAAAAGTAAATTATCCAAATACCGAAATTATGCATATGCATACTTTCGTTTTAAAAGGGAAATAATGCATTGAAAAATAAATGAAGTAATGCATACATGCACAATTTCGGTTGAACACCGAAATAATGCATATGAGGAAATACCGAAATTACGCATATGCAGCCCTGTTCTGCAGTCCGATTCGAATCGGAATCGGATTTGTTTCCGTTTGTTGGTGTTCTGCATTCCGACAATCGGATATTATTTCCGATTCCGCCTTGTTCTACATTTCGATCCTATTCGGAAATTTGATGTTCTATCGGAAATTTGATGTTCTGCGTTCCGAATATCGGAAATTTTTTATAGGAAATATTCCGATCAAGTAAAAGCCAGTGGAGTAGAAAAAGAACAAAACAAAAATATAACACCCCTATTCAGCAACTCTTTCGTATTCGGATTTTGCTACGAATCGTAGAAATAGTATGCTGCAATCCGAATCGTATTTTCGAAATTTCGAAATTCGTAACAATGGAATAACTAAAAACGAGCGAGTAAGAAATTGACAGCTTTTTTGCGTAATTTTGTACGAAAACAATTCTGTGTCGGAAGCGAGATAAAAGATATAAATCGATGTGTGTTTGCAGGAAATATTAGTGGTCTTCTTTTAAACCAGTGATTCCCAAAGTGGTCCAGGTGGATCCCCAGGGGTCCACGGGAGACTCGACGGGGGTCTGCGTTGGCGTGAAAATATTATTGGGGTCCACGAGTTGTAAGTGGGGGTCCACGAAAATGTATCTGGTTTCGATAGTAAATAAACGAAATGGTTGCTTGATAGCCTCTATATATAACGTTAATTTTTTTGATTGGTCGCGCAGCTGCACTTACCGTCACTTTGTGCTTTCATACGTAGGGAAGCCTTAAAGGCCACCTGCACACTAAAAAGAAACGGATGTTGGTATTACACTGAGCGGGGCTAGGCGTAAATTGCTGGCGGCAGTGCTTTGAGCACTTGTGTCTTTTCAATGCTGCAGGATAGTAGGCCACTATTACCTTTGTTGAAGAGATTCTATAATTTTGAGTTACCTGAGCTGAATACTGGTTTAATTCCAACACTGAGCTCGAACTCACACATTGTCGAATCTTCACTGATGGCTCCAAAACTGATTCTGGGCCAGGATCTGGCGTCTTTTTCGAAGTTAATGGGGATAAACTTCACTTTTCTCTTAGGGAATATGCTTTGGTGTTCCAGGCTGAGGTATTTGCAATCCTCAAAGCCATGGACTACGTGGTGGAAAATAGGTGGAGGGGAAGCAGTTTATTTATCTGCAGTGACAGCCAAGCTGAACTTAAGGCATTGGCCAGCCTTCTATCTAAGTACTTCCAAATTAGTTCGGCAATGCAAATCCGACTAAATTACGTTGGTAAACATCAAGAGCTTTCTTTATTCTGGGTGCCAGGTCACTCAGAAGTGCGTGGCAATGAGACATCTGACGTTTTGGCTACAGTTGGCTCAGACCAGGTATTCCTCCACACTTCGGCCATCGAAGCCACCATCAGAAACTGGGTGAATACTTCGCTCAGCAATGACTAGAAGGTATCGAGGGGCTGCAGGTGGGCAAAACCTATTTTGCCTACAATCTCGGTAGGTCTATCTAGTTTTCTGCTCTCAATGAGCAGACAGGACTGCAGACAACTTCTAGAACTGCTGACTGGACACTTCAGGTGCCACAAACACCTGACTGTGATAAACGTAAATGACAACTCCATTTGGCCATCCTGCCTTGCAGAGGATGAGACGGTGAAACATTTTTGGTGCTTCTTGCTTGCTTGGTTTTTTGTCATCGATTTTTATAGATTCGGTTTTTTCCCTAATGTCAGTTTCTGAATTTAAAGTATGGCGGAGTTTGGCGTAAAAAGCTTTGCGGTTTTATTGTTTTAAGTTTTGAGCTTTCGCATCACTCGGAGCGATACAAATAAAAATGATGCCATCAACACAAATAAACTGTCTTACAAATACGCAAATTCATGAGTGAGCCGAACGTGTGAGGAGTTTATGGTGAAGATAATGTAAATTACGCAAGCGCACGGAGTGCTCTTAAAAATATAACTCCTCAGAGCGAGGGAGTACTTTGATATCTTTACGAGCTCTGTTTTTTAAAATTTCCAAACGAAAATATTTTATTGTTATTTTTGCCACTCCGAATTTAGTTTTGAAACTCACCCGCGATGAAATTTACGTCGTTACATGTAATCTTCACATTTTTTTACGAGCTTTGGGAATCTGTTGGAATTATAACAACAGGGGG